AGCTCAAAATTATGCATTTTCAGATACAGTCAAAAACGGCTCCCACTCCCTAAATATCCACTAACGCCAATCTTAATACTTAAATATTTAGCAACCAACTTCATACCAACCAACTTGTCGAGGCGAAGCTGTTTCATAAAAACAACAACAACAACAACAACAAGAACACAAATTTCTTTTTTATTGGAGATGCTACTGCAGTTAATGTTACACCTATCACAACCATGAAAGCAACTGAAAAGGGTATTTTGTTTCAAATAAAAATATTCAACTTCATTGTTTCTTCAAAAATTAAGCATCCACTACTGCAATGAATTCTAATTAAGCAAATAGCAATAATCAACAAACATGGATCTAGTTGAAGGGATGAATACAGTCAATGACCAGAAAGCTGTTCTGAAGTCTCTCTGACAAGATGAGAACAAATTTAAAACACTATTTGCAACAGCTTTTGACTACTGAAAAGAACTGAAAATACCCATTCCAGCTGTAAGAAACAGAAAACTTTTCTGCTGATTGAACGTTTGCATTGAAACTGTGTTTACAAAGAGCATGAAGTACGGAATGGATACTTTTCTTCCTCTGGTGGATACAGGGATTGCAGAATGACTGATCGTTATTCTCATGACACTGCAGACCTCACCACAGGAGTCAGAAAACTTTTAAGAATTTAAAACTTCTGAAGATGACATTAAAGATATTTCAAAACAATTTAGTGTAGATTTTTTGTAGCTAATGGCTAATGGTATATTTAAATGTTTAATAAAGGCAAGAAATATTTAACACACTGTTCAATTAATGAAATTATGAAATTTATGAAGCCTATGAAATGTTGCATGGCACACTCAGGTCCCTCTCTGAAACCAACACACAATATGAATGTTTTCAATTGTGATCGGGATATTAAAGAAATTCCGAATTTCTCATGTATTACATCATACCCAATGGAACGAGAAACGAGATGGGGACAAAGAATATCATGAGCATGTATGTAAAAGTATACAACCAAGCTAGATCTATGCTATGTTCAGAATGTACAATGTCTAGTGAACTCTAACACCACATCCCAGAGGAGCAGTAGGTACTATTACTCGCACAACTTTTCTTGAACAATGACCTTGCTTTCCCCTCTGACACAATAAACAATTGAAGGCAAAAGTTCACAGCAAGCACTGATCACAACATTCGAAACACATCTTTACTGGTGCAAAATATAAACTATTTTCTGTTGAAAATGAAAACATCTGTCTTTGATTTTCTGCAAAAAATCTAAAGAAATGACCAAAGGAGGCGAAGATCCATCACAGAACATACCTTGAACTCCTGAGAAAGTTTGAACACAATTATTGAGAAAGATGCAAAGGCATGGCTGATTCTCTTGAGAATGGCACAGCTTCATAAAACCTTGTGGCCGATTTTGTAACTAATACCCCTACTCTACCTGCATTTCTTCAATCCATCATTCAAGAAAAGTTGCTCAAGTAATACGAGAGGCCCTGGTAGTCTTTTAGATATAAAAGAGAATAGGAATCTAACTAGTACAAGGAAGTATGTGCCGTTCTGTAGCACCACTAGTTTTTTAGAGAAATCTGTTCTTCAAAATTGGATCTTTATTTATGGTCCTGAATAATTTTTTCAAAATATGAATAGTTTTTATGCAATTTTGTGTGAAATAAAAGCAATTTTTAAAAAAATGCTAACATTTTTACACCATTTTTTTTTTTACTGGGGTAAAGCAATTTCCACAAAATTTGAGCAGGTTTAATTTTTATTGCACTCTCTGAATTTTCAAACATTGCAAATGTTTAAAACTTTTTCACCTCTTTCTACCCCTAGACTTCTGAAAGTAATTTTTTTTCTCAATGAAAACAGTTCTTCAAAATTAGCTCTTTAATTACCGTGATATATGATTTTTGAGAATACAAGTTGCTCTCGTTCTACTTTCTTTGTAAAGTGTCAGAAAGGTTGTTAAGGGAACAGAGAAATTTGATGGAGCTCATAGCTGGGACAGAATAGGGTGCTGGTGATCATCCCCCCCCCCCCGGAGAGTTGGAATGTCTTATTGCTAGGGATACAATAAATCCATATTTGACTCCTACTTTCTAAAGTGTTCATACGAAGGAATCCAAATGAGAGAATTTGAACAAGAAAACATTCTCAATAGCATAATTAGGCTTTAGTGTAATTCTGTTCCATAAGTTGGTATTTGTTTTACTATTCATTCTTCCATCATTCCCTTCTAAAGCTTTGAATGTTTACCTCTGGAGAAACTTGTCACCCTAAGCACATGAATATGAATCCCAGAGTGAGCATAACTTTTGTGGGCTGGAAACACTCGAGTTCAAGTGGTATTTTAATATTACATCACCTTTACAAATAATATGAGAAGTACAAGTTTGTAGCACTACTAATTTAGAAATATTTTTGTAATATGAGGATTCAATTAAAAATATTTTATTTGCACATAGAAGAGAGGCAGAAAGACAAAATATTCACTGTTTCATTGTTTCTCACTGTTTCTAAGAAGGTATTGAGCTTTATTTCTAGAAAGGTTTAACTGCTGAAAGTCAAATAGCAAGTCATACTAACTTGGGGATAGGTTACAACTGTGAGCACAATGTACATTTACGATGCACATCATGTTATTATATTTTATGATGTTATATTTTTTTCACACAAAATAAGAACTGCATATATGATCTAGTCATACAAAGTTGATTACTGATTACCATATATAACCCTTCTCTGGGAGACAAAACCTAAAACATACATTCTTATGGAATAATGATTTCATGAATTAGAATGTGAATGAATTTTCAAAAGTTACAATACATCTAATTTTTGTATTCAGTTCCCAAACAACTGAATAGTTTTTTCTAACTACTGAATAGTTTCCAATTCTTACTTACTTCCCTTTCTTAAAAAGATGACATGACAAAATGCCAAGAAATGTGAAACATGAAGCAAGAAATTATCATTATGATATCTACTAATGTCACAACTTGAAATGGTATGATGGTATAAAACAGCACATATACACATTCTTGGAACATTAATGGAGACAAACTATGATTTTCAAAAACATTTCAATGTTACAAACTTTAACAACTACAACACACTATATGATTAGACTTCACAAGTGAAAGAACATTATTCTATACATAAATTTGTTGGCAAATAAGAGAGTTCGGTCAAAGTCATGGCAACAATTGTTTTCTAAAAGAAATGTTATTGGATCTCTTGATTTTATTGGTCGCATCAATGAAATGCTGTACTAATGTGTGTTCACAACAACTGATGGCTATGTGAGTGTCTCTATTAGCAATGAGACAAATGTGAAATCAGTTCACAGACTACCAGCATGCTAGATGAATATAACCTGTTTCAAGCAGTGCTCATACACCAAGTTAGCAGTTCTCTACGAGAGAAATACCCGACAATATCACAGGGAATTGGGGGAAGCTGTTGGGAATAATGCCTTTTTATACTGGACTGTTGCGAGATGGGCAGGAGAGTCTCTGAGAAGGATGAATTTGCAACCTGTAATCAGCAATGCACATCATGACCTGGGAGAGTGTGGACCAATGTTGCACGAGTGGTAATCGAGTAGCATTGGCATAACCGATCTTTCAGAACTGGTATGTAATACTTCTAGAAAGTTGTTAACTCATATGTGCTATAATGCTTTGGAACATGAAATCAATACTGGCAATTCAAATACCTTGATAAATATGGAAAACCCAATTTTGGTGTGTTGTTAAATGTCCATGGACTTAGTTCACAACTCGTCCTTTCTTGTGCATACTTCACATTATCCACCCAGGCTCTTATTCTCACACAAATGTTGCTATGTCTTGTGCCCCAACCCTAATACAATTAATTAATATTTCAGAACAGTTATGTCTAGCTTCTTCTACATTGCATGCATAACCTAAAGTCTCGTGCTTCACAGGCAAATCATTCATCAATCACTTAGATGTCAGTTGGGTATGTTATGAGTTATGAGTTACTGGAAGTTATTCACTGAGAATGAGACTTGTAGCAACTGCAGACATCTTTCATGGATTCGGTAGATCACTGATAGGATGAGTAAAGAGAGATTTGGTTGAACATTTTGCACAACTACTAAAGGGAAGATAATGCCTTTAGAAGTAATTCTAAAAAATCTCTTCAGTAATTCAGAAAGCACATTAATTAGTGCATTCAATGGAAAAAAAGGTAAAAATGAAATAAATAATTTGATAGAAAGGGGAATATAGTTTAGCTGTCAATAACAAGAGGAATCTGCAATTAATTGCCACTCAAATTAATTGTTATTTTGTCAAAATTTTTATTTATACAGTCAAGTGTCAAATTTTGGTTTGCATAATAGCTAATTAACATGACGAAAATCATGGACGTCAGTTGGGGTATGGTAGGGTGACTACATCAGTTTTTCAATACTGCTCCTATTAAGAAATCAAGCATTTTAGCCACTTACTAGAAGTATTCAGAAAAGAGAATATATTAAGATAGTAACAAAATTTTCACTAGAACATCATCTAAGTTTCTTCAGAACAATTTCAGTCCAAGTCCACAAATAAAATATTAGTGAAAATCTGCAAATACACAACTACACATACACTAGCTAAATAATTATTGAGTTCCTACAGTTGATAAAGATATTAACTAGTGCAAGTAATGAAATTAAATGAAAAATATGAACCTTTTTTACGGTCACAATATGGTTTAAGGCCATAAAGACAGACAATAATTAAAATTCAATAACCACAAAAATAATAGTTTTCAATAATTTTACATATTGGGGAGAACTGGTTTACAAATTTAGATATTTATATATCTCTAAATTAAGATTTTAAATGCAGACAATAATTTAAATTAAATAAATATAAAAATAATAGTACATCACAGATGCCATTTTCCATTTCACCATCTTAATTTCTTGTGGGAGAAGTATACATACACTTTTCATAAAGCATGTTAAACTGTTTCTTACTTACCAATGCAAATAAGTCATCCAAAAGACCCAGTCTATCAAGTGGAGGTAGGCTCTTATCTTTCACGGCTGGCACAAATTGTGCCAGCATTTCTGAAGGATACTGAGTACGATAGAAGCCTACAGTGCCAGGATTAACTTTCACCCAATCTTCTGATGACACATCGCTCAAAATAAGTTCTGCAGAATGAGTCTCAAGGACAGTGCTCTGTACCACTTCTCCAGGACTGCGTGATGTGCTTATGGTAATTGGGACCATCCAGAGTGTGCCATTGCCTAAACATCATTTCTCTTATTAGTCTTTCTATGCAGAGAAATACATGCTACATTTCTGACACAAAAGTATGTACACAAAATGGATTAAAATCATGCAGAAAGTATAATTCACAACACTTCTCCCAAGCAAATTACCATTCCAATTTACATGTTTCATTGCCTTGGGTAAAAACAGAAAAAATTATGTTTAAAAAATAATACAGTAAATAATAAGACTGCATTATTACACAATCTAAAATCAAGGTTTTTGGAAATATTTTCAAAGCACAAAACACAACATTTCTGGACCTTGGTATTTAAAAAAATAATATTGGAAAGATAAATTAAGGAAAGAAAATGAGAAGCAACTTTTCAAGAACTGTGCAGCTTTCAGACATCACAATTTCGGAAGCATAATCTCTCCACCTTCAGTTCTCTCCACTACTCATTAACCATTGTTCTGCTCAAGCCTGAGCAATGGGTTTAAATTATAGAGAGAAAATTAGTGCAGCTACAGTACTCCTGGTTTTGGCACTTCAGATAGTTTGGATTTCTGTTAGCAAACAAAAACAAAACCAATGGCTACTAAAAGATCTTGTTGAAAAGTTTAAGTAGTGCATATAGTGTGTTCCATTTAAATTGATAAACTGAAATAACTCGAAAAATAGACATAGAGGGAAAAAAAAAGAAGAAGAAAAAGAAGAAGAAGAAGAAGAAGTGTTTGACAAAAAATGAATATCTTCAAGGAGAATATCTGCCTGATCTAAAATCAAACCTCGTCCCCACTCCCTGGGGGTGGAGCGGGGCAACTTTGAAATCTTAAACGAGAACCCTACTTTTTAATTACATATTCAAATTCTACACTAAAACATACACAAGTTTGGCCTAAAACATTTTTTGTGATAGATGGCACTGTAATCTCAAAATAAGAATTATCGAGAAATTACACTTTGCATTGAAAAATAAAGAAACACCTGCTCATAATTAAAAAAACACTGATAACAGTTAAGCACCCACCCCACTACCAGGGATTGGGGTGGGGGTTAACTTTCAAATCTCAAGAAAGGTGTTAAAGAAATAATAATTTCTCATATTCATTTTATATATTATTCTTGCTTATTTAAAATTATGAATTTTTATATTATTATTTATTTCGTAATTCATATTCATTTTATATATTTATTTCTCATATATTATAATATTATGAAACTGTGCACATTATACAATGATATGCTATTATTCTTGCCTATTTAAAATGATGAATGTTTAATTAAATGCAGAAAGAAATTATAAATCATTTCATGAACAACCAAATGGACATTTGAATTGAAGATAATAGTCTGCTATATTTCGCAAGAAAACATATTGTACAAACTAATGCAAAAAAGTCCACACCCTCCTGAAACTTTTCAAAAGGCAATCAATTCAATATAGCATATAGAGAAAATATTTGCGGTCTGACACTTGGGAATATATGGAAAATTACACAATTTCTGATGCTAGTGTCAAATTTATGCTTCAAGTTAGGGCAGATCAAGCGAGAAGTATTTTATCTTTCTTACTTATATTGAACTGATACTGTTTTACATATGGCATTGACACTGAATTGCAAGTTAACTGAAAACAAGATTATGAACGCAAGCCGACACAGGAACTTATCTTAATTTTTTTAGCACTTTCAAAACTCTATATCCTTGTAATGGCTTCTTCATAAACATCATAATGCTATTAGGAAATAGCTTATCAAAATCATATGCTATATTTCAGAAAGGGGTGGGGGTTGAAGTACGAGGGGGATACAATAAGCGAAATGTTTTTTTTAAACTTTCTCGTCAAAGTTTATACATACAAAGAAATATAAGTAGTATAGAGAAAGTTATGTAATACTATGGGAAAAGCCGTGATTTTTTGACAGAAAAAGTCGTCTAACGGGGCTCTGATACACAAAAAGGATATAAATATATTTCTAAAATGTAGTAAATTAACCCTCTAACACCTTGGGTAGTCTTATTTCAGAAATTGTGAATCCTTGATACTGAAAAAGTGTTTTTTCCAAAACATCCGTCCATATGGTGTATAGGAACAATACTAGAACCTGAACTATACGTAGAGTTTTTTCCAAATTTAATAAACCCCTGTTAATCTGGCGTCACTCCAAGGTCTGTGATTTTGAAAAACATTCATTAATTTTTGGGGTTACTTTGCATGAAGACCCCCCTAAGACCATGGGACTTTCTCAGAAAGTTCTCAAAAATGGCTCCAAAGTTTTTCTTTAAATTTCTGGTAAGAATAGAGTAGAGTACACGTGTATAGGTGGCATATGAAAAATTATTTTGTAACCTATATATTATAGATACTGCATCCATACCATTCAAAATTAAGTCCACAATATCCATTTCCTAACAATTTCTAAGATCTGACATTAAAAAAACTGACGCTTTCAGTCTCAGCAACACCAGAAATTTGTCCACCGAAATCTCATGATTAATTTTTAAAATTATCACATGACCTCTATACTATGGAAACAAGAAAATTAAATTATGTTTTGAATACAGATACCAAAAAACTCAACCATCGTTTTAATCTTCAACAATTTGCCTTGGTAAAAAACTGGATGACCATTTGAACATTTAGCTCTTTTTCTACTTAGGAATCGATTACTAAATTGAATCACTGTCTGTCCTTTCATTTATAGTTTATACCATTCCGTACTGGTAATTAGGTACAGGCCTGGGGTTGTTCAGGGTTCAGTGGTAAACTAGTTCTTTATAGCACAGTGACCATTAACACATCCCACAAGCATTTGTGGTATACAGAATGTCTTGGCTAAAAGTATAAGTAAGCAATTTATACATCTCAGACAATTCTTAGCAAGTTCTACGCAAAGAGGTTCATTGGGAATTCCTGGTGTCGAAGCATGGTCAAAGCTTTTCCAATCTATCACACCAAATCTAACCAATTTATCAGCGATCGGTAATCTTTTGCCATTTAATGGCCGATTAAATAGTGAAATTGAGGAGTTGTTCAAGAGTTTGAATTTGTGCATCATAAAAGTTGAACATTGGAATAATGGGATAGCAATAAAAAGAAAAACAAGGAATTGTTCAAAATTGGTCAATACATGGCTACTGAAAAAAGTGTCCAAGGGGTGAAATTTCCTCAAATCACATTTCACACCTATTTAAAGCTGGTAGGAATATGGTTCCCCACACCAGTAAAAGTGCAGAGCTGGGGTTGTGCTCTGCCACTCCGTCAGGAAAAAAGGGGCATACGATAGCTACCATCCAAATGACCATTTCTGGACCTGTTGCCATATGAACACCTCTGTGGCCGCAGCCTGCCATTCGCTCATGCCCAGACTGACCACTGACCAAATACTACAGCTGCCTGACCTCTGACCTGAGCCAGTGCCAGTCGACGTAGCTTTGGGCTAGTGAAGATTGTTGGCTTCGAGCAAGCTTGTAGACACAGCTCGCTTCACCAGGAAGGCCCTGGGAAACAGCCATTGGCACTCCCAATCTCAATAGCCACAGATGAGTAGCCAACATTTTTGAGTATATTATTTTCACTAGCAGGTCCCCATGTACGTAAATGTAAAGTTCTTTATGTTATTAAAAAGTGGTGTGTGAAATGCATAAATATCTTATTAAGGCCTGAACGCCCATCTCCTGTAAATACATCAGTATCTGATGGTAACAATTCAATGATTTCTGTTGATTTCAAAATACTATAAAGGTAAGTTGGCAGAGGAGGGCAAGAATTTGTTATAAATGCAAAAACTTGTAATTGATGAAGTAATTTATGAATTTTCAAGGACATTATGGTCAACACACTGCCAAAAAGAACTGTACCCATTGAAAAACTACTGGTCTCTCAGGTAGAATTTCTGCAATAAATACTAAATGTAATTACTAATGTAATAAATGTAATTAATAAACCTGTACAATTTAACACAGTATTTTCCAAGTTACAAATATAATGAAGATATTCACCTGAAACTTGAATAAGTTAGTTAAATTAATACATACTTGGGGCATTGTTATCGGCACAAAACTTTTCTTGAGTAAGACATATTTTACGAGCAGAACCCTCTTGCTGACTAGAAACTTTGACAACTGGGTAGCCAGTCTGTTTTGTCCATGTGGACATCACTGCTCCCACTGGTTTGTTGCTGGCCTCCTCTAATGCTGTCCATAAGTCCTCAGTAAAGGTGTTCTTGTACTGATGGCGTGTAAGGTACAAATTCATACCTTTGCGGAAGTCCTAAAAATAAACAATCATCACAATGTTACCAAATGTCACTTTAGATAGTTAAAAATTTACATTGCCTATACAGGTGATTTCATTAATCAACCTGCACACATTTTGATGCAGTGTACTTTGCTTTTGAGAAATTCAAAAGCAACTGAATATTACTCATTCAATGCAGATATATTTATTCAATGTAACAGCGGATGTGCAATACATGTGTTTCTTGGGTAGTAAAACTACTGTATTTCAATTGTGCAGAACGAATGAGCATAAATGAACATTATTTTGCATTGCAGTGTGAAGATTGGCTACCTAAATTTGAGCACACGTAATGGTGAATGCAATGTTTTTCACTTACACATCACGACAGAACTATTGTCTTCATTACCTTTGACATCAAGGAATGTAAAACATTAATGGGAAAAGGCAACAAATGATGGCACAACTGTCATTTTAAACAAATTCAATTTATCAAGCAAGAATAATCTGGAATTAATAAATTATAGAGAATGAACACCTTTTTCTTTTCATGCAATAAGTAATATCTAAAATTCAAAATGACAAATTACTGCATTAATTTTTAGACTATGTCAAAAGAACAATTCATTTGGAGACATGCACCAGCTTGGGAGTTTATAGAAAGTATGAATTTTGTTTTGTCTTATCAACAATAATTTTGATAATTACTTTTTTAGAAATAAGATGCTGAATGAAACACATTATTAACCTAGCAAGTGCAATGATGTCAATTCCTGATTGTCAAGCAAATGTCCATTATCCTTGCAAGTCTGCACATTCAAAGAGATAAAAGGGTACTGTGCGGTGTGTGGATTAATTCAAGATTGCAAACAGCCAGTGGTGACAGCAGAGCACTGACTGCAGAGGGCCCTGCCACATGCTTCAGCATACATTTAGTTGGTTTACATTGCCTTCATTCTTTCCTTATCCAATGAACATAAACATTAGATGTAACACCATTAAAAAAAAGAAACATTGAATCTTACCTCATCTCCAATGTACTTATGCAACATACGGATGACTGAAGCTCCTTTGTTGTACGATATATCATCAAAAATTTCATCAATTTCAGAAGGATGACCCACAGGCACCTAGATGAGAACATTTTTAAAAATAATTTTAAAACATTAAAAATTATTTGCATATCTCAAAGTACTGTTGAAGACTCAGAAGGTCAATTGTGTGATTATCCAACACCAAGGCCACTATGACTCTAATGGCTGGCTGATGTAGTGTGGAATAATCCCAGCGCTGTGGGTGATGCAGAGATGTCAATATGTACACCCCCAATTGTGTCAATTCAGAAATTTTCTTTCACTTTGGCAACTCGCTATGTAAGAAGTAAAAAGAAATTTTTGTAATCGTGTGCCAGTAACTGGTGATTTTTCAGAAGAAAAACTCTTATTGTTGAGCCCTGATAATTAAAAAGGTGATAAATCTCCTTTCTATATATGTTTGTCAATTATTTCTCTAATCATGTTGTGTAGTTAAAATCAATGATTGTGAATCTTGTATTGAAAAATCGATTGATGAAACTGTTTGTCTTATGTATGTCTTTCTGTGGTCAATGTTAATACGTAACGTGGTTCAGTCGTTCTCAAAAGAGAGAGAAAGAGAAGAAGAGAGAGAGAGAAAGAGAGAGAAGAGAGAGAGAGAAAGAGAGAGAGAGAAAGAGAGAGAGAGAAAGAGAGAGAGAGAGAGAAAGAGATAGAGAGAAAGAAAGAGATAGAGAAAGAGAGAGAGAGAGAGAGAGAGAGAGAGAAAGAAAGAGTGAGAGAAAGAAAGAGAGTGAGAGAAAGAAAGAGAGAAAGAAAGAGAGAGAGAAAGAGGAGAGAGAGAAAGAGGAGAGAGAGAAAGAGGAGAGAGAGAGAAAGAGGAGAGAGAGAGAAAGAGGAGAGAGAGAGAAAGAGGAGAGAGGAGGAGAAAAAGGAGAGAGGAGGAGAAAAAGGAGAGAGGAGGAGAAAAAGGAGAGAGGAGGAGAAAAAGGAGACGGGGAGAGAAAGGAGACGGGGAGAGAAAGGAGGGGGCAAGAGGAGAGAGAGGGGGAGAGAGAGCAAGAGGGAGTTGAGAGGGAGAGAGGGGAAAGAGAGAGAAAGATGGTGAGCAATGTAAAGCCAAACCACTAACGAAACCGTAACCTATTAACGAAAGACTCCTACACAGCTAGCACAAGTATTATCAGTGACAGCTGGGAAGGTGGGTGATCATTCACTCTGTGAAGAGAGAGACAGAGATTATGTTTGCAGTTTTGCTTTTCTAGTGGCAGACGTAGAACAATAAGAAAATATGTGCAGAATGAATGAAAATTCAGCCATTCCTGCAGTATGTCATGCAGTATGATTGTTACACATTACTGACTCTTGCTGCCATTTGTCAAATGATTACGTGACACACATCAAATGTTTCACTATATCCTGTTCATGAAGTTCTCTCAAATGAATGAGCTATCAGCAGAGGACAGCGGCCTCACATTACCCAGAGTTGTCTACTCTCGATTTTTACTTTCTCGTATACATAAGTATATACAGAGTAATTAACATGGTAAAGAGAAAGTAATGAATTGCTGCAGAACATTGATTTCGAGACTTCAATGGAAAAAAACATTTTGAGATCTCCTGATACCGAAAAAATTATTTTTTCAAAACATCCATCCATCCAGCCTGGTGTATGTAAACAACAATGGTGCTTATACCGTGCATAGGATTGTTCTCAAATTGAAACTCCTGTACGTCTGGCCTGAGTTTAAGTCTGTGATTTTGAAAAACATTTTTTTAATTTTTTGAAGCATTTGAAACATTTTCAAAATGGCAAATTCCTATTTTCAGGGTTAACTCTAAATTTTCAAAAATTTCAAAAGTATGAATTTTTTTTCTCAGTTTTCCAACAACTACAAAATTGAAGATCATCCTTCAAATGAAATTTGCCATACTTAATTACTTCTTTCATTAAGCTTGTTCAGTTTATTTTATTTTGTTGAAGAAAGAAGTCATAGAACTACACATACCACAATAATTATCAGCTACTACAGTTAAATTGAAAATATTTATGAAACTATTATGTACAATAAGCTCTCTTGGGTAGGGAAGCAACCAAAGAACCATACTAATATTAAATTACCTCAATTGGGTGACTATTTTTCAACCAGTCCAGTTCTAGTGCACGTGAGTACGTATCACAGACAAACTGTGTCCAAATATCATATTCAGGGAACAAATGTGCCACGCACAAAAATTCCACAAATGAAGCATATCCTTCATTTAGCCACAGATGAGTCCACCACTCCTATAAAAGAAAAATAATGTCAAGTTCTTATTCACAACTGCAATAATAATCAATGTAGCAATTCATTTGATTTTGTGCTTTATACGCAATAGGTTATAATAAGCAAAACAGTGTCACATTGTTATCAAAATTACAAACTATTTCAATTCTCATTTCTGGGGAGACCTAAGCTAAATCTCATATGAATCTTTTTATTTATTTAAAATATCAAATCCACTCAAGTGCTGTTGAAAGCAACTGTCTTTCATTTTCAATCAAATAGACCAAATACAAATTTCATAAATATTTTTATTTTCACAATTTTTCATTGCTACTTTTTCTGTTTTCTTTATCATTACTACCCATTTTCCTCGCTGAACCTTTTCCAACCACGGGGAATTTTCTGCTCAATATCTGCCACCCACAATTAGAGTGGCAACTGATATAAAGTACCTGGACAGGTGCAGAGGCTCTGTAGCTGAGCTGACTATATTGTGTCAAAAAATAAATAAATAAATAAAAATATCATCTATAACAATGTTCAAGTTTGAATAATCTATGTAATGTTTTGCTAATATTTTGAAATAATCAATTTACTGACAAGTGTTTACTGTTATTGACATGAAAAGATCACTTTGTAAACAAATTTTGAGAATAAAAATAAGATAGGGCAAACTGATGAAAAGTATGTCATAACACAAATTTATCTAGTCGTGTATTCTAAATTGTAACTGAAGAAACTCAGTTGTAACTGCCTGTTCAATAAACAAAGGTACAACTAGAAAAATAAAGATAAAATCTCACCGGTAAAAGATGAAAGACCCAGTACAAAAAAATTTACTGGAGATATTGGTGACTGTGTAATGGAATATTTTATCATTTGATAAAGGTTTGTGCATATTACTGAATAAAAAAAACCTATCATAAAATGAAAGTATCCATGAATCAATTAGTTTCTAACCTCACAAACCTAATTATTTTATCAAAATCTAATTTTAGGAGAATGTAACTTATCAATATTATTATAATTTATCAATATTTCTGAAATTTATGAATAATTAAGAAATATTGATAAATTATTGTTCCATTATTAATATATCTTTAATCACAATTGCATCTGAATATTCTGTTTGAATATGAAGGGGAAAAGAAAAGGTTTAGTGAATTGGGTTTTGAATTTATAGAAAGAAAAAAAATAATAGAAATTTACATAGTGAAAATTGACTGATGCACTGAAGCTACTGACTGAACAGTCTCTTTGCCAGCTGGTTATCCAATTTTCATGAAAATGGTATAATAATGGCATCTTACAATGGGACAGGATGAGAAAATACAAAATACACTTCCCAAACACATTCATGGAAAATTTCCCACAGAGTATTTACACTTTCATAACCAATAAATGTATGTAGAACAATAACACTAATTACTCCTTACACCATTTCTCAGAAAATACTAACCATTCTCATGCATGTTCACATTTGTAATTGTAATTTGCACAAAGGGAACCCCCATGACAAACAACGTTTCTTTTACTTTAACTAACAGAGACAGACAGATTGAAAAGAGACTTGTAAGATCTTACACACCATATTACAACTCTGATCTTCATTGAATTTTTCAAAGATCACACAATCCCCAACTTTAAGGCCACTCTATAAAACTGATGGAAAACAAAATTCAAGCAAGCGAAACATTCTGGCTAAAATAGTGGAGGACTCTTGGAACAAACTTTCAAATGCAGTGGTTGCAGTCTCCTCTATTATCTCTTTCAAAGCTTTGTACACCTGCTTCATGGATGAATGTACTACTTCAACTCTGAACTCCACCATTATGCCCTGCTTGCTTACATAATTTATTACGTTATTTTCAGTGATTTTTATTTATAATTTTTAAATGTGATACACATACTACTTAGCTCATGATTTACATTAAATATGTAAGTTATTTAATAGTATTAGCAATAAAATGAATGCAAATTACTAACCATTGTAACAAGATTTCCAAACCATTGATGGGCCAGTTCATGCCCCACCACCAAAGCAATCCACTGTTTGCGCTCTGCAGAAGTATTCTCAGGATCTACTAAAAGGCAGGTCTCACGGTATGTTACCAAACCCCAGTTCTCCATAGCACCTGAAGACATACCATTGAACAAGTAGTTTACAGTACGAAGAATGAATTTTCATTCCACAATATGCTTTGATGAACACTAAGAAATAGGCGATACATTTGTTCACCCTTCAAGTAAATTTGATGATTTTGTGTTGTACCTGTGCTAATTTACACTGAATACTGAATACAAATATAAATTAGCTTCTTTTGTACCATTTTGTAAATCTCTAACAGGTAAATACAATGCTTAAAAGAGGATGCAATTGGTCTCAAAGATGAAGTAGATGAAATATTACAAATACAATTTTTTTAACTTGTTCTGCTTCCTCTGCAATTAATTTGAGTAACTTTACATTTTCAGATAATCACTTTCCTTGTTACATCTAACATTTCTTATTTACAAACTGAAGCTTTCATATCTCTCTTTTTCAACTAATCTCTAATAATTTTTATTGATTTCAAAGTATTAAATTATGTTGATAAGAATGTGCGAACATGTATCATTACCTGCAGAGAAATCAGCTATTGCAATCAGGTCCATTTTTGGAAGAGGATATGCAATTTGAAAGTACTCTTTGTAGTATGGTAACACTTTTGTAGCAACCTCTAAAGCAAACCTCCCTTGCTCCTTCTTCCCAATAGGTGTGTATACTCGCACCACAACACCATCTGAGGAGTGATCCTCCACATAATCATATTCTCCCACAACTACAGCTACTAAATAAGTTGACATAATAGGTGTAGTATCAAATTTAACCAGTTTCATTCCTGGGTTGTCAGCAACAGGGTCCTGAGATACAACAGGCTGAAACAATGAAAAGAAAAATAATTATATAATTGATGTTAAAAAATATTTCATTACATAAAATACAGATTTCCGTATCATTGCTAAAGAAAAATCTGGAAATCCTCTATTGTTTATACATAAATGCAGTCTAATAAATCTTTTTAATTCACCCAACCTAAAATAATTTCGCATAGCACAGTATCTTGTGTTTTATTTTATTCCACGATCATCCAATTCTTAATTTCAACCTAACAATAAATTCAAACATAAAAATCACACTACAATTTTAAATCTTTTACAATTTGTATGCACCTGTAAAACTTTTTGAAGTAAGTATCAAGCCCAATTAGTATGATTATTAAGTCAGTCAATATATTTTGAAAATAATAATGTAACATTTATTAAGAATGATGTAACTTGGAAAACATACCTCTGAGTTTTGTGAATTATGTACTGTTAGTTCTGCTTCGTACATTTACATAACTTTATAGAAACAATCAAGTAAGGAGTTTTATATCAGTCTTCTAGCTTAATTCAAAAAATGCTGGAAAGCATGATTCACACTTTCTTTTTATCCAAATAATTTTAGATTTTAGCACTTGTGGCAACTAGGTTACTGCTATCAGTTCTTTTGTTTATACTTACTGTTACTCAAGTAATTTGAATGACTTGTTCAACTCACTGATGAAAACTTGAAGATCAATATATCAGAACGTTTAATTTTACATTATAGATTCATATAAAATAGTTTGGAGTATATCCCTTGAAATACGTAACTGACCATTTCATTCATGAATGTCCAATAGTATGAAAGAATTAGTGCCAACCAATCCCAGCTATTTATTAAAAAAAATTTCATGTTCATGCACCTGTTCTCTTACATTAGTCAAATAATTTTACCCTGTCAATGTGTTTATTTCATTGTTCGGTGAAAAATCAACAGAACACTATTTATCAAAGCACTGAATCATTTCAGGGAAACTTCACATTTAATTCATTACCCCCATTAAAGAGCAAAATAATAAGGAAAGCATTTGGAAACAATGCCAGTGGTTCAGCTAAGAAAGAAATTAAGATCTTTCCTCACATACAACAAACCAAGGGATGGCAAACATTTTGGATGAATTGGCTATTAGATAATTGTAGTTTTAATAATTGTGCCTTCAATTTGTTAATTTTTTTATAAGTTTCTTATGATATTACATGTTATTTTCATGTTTCTTGTTGCTAAATAGATATTTTAGAATTTAAACAAAACAATCTGAAATAATTTTCTTAATATAACTTCCATGTCTTGCATTATATCTTTCCAGAAGACTTTTATGACCAACTGTTTTCTTAATATTACAATATCCATATTTGTTTTGTTTTTCTATTTATTTAAGTTTCCATTGAGTTTATTAATAAATTACCAAGATAGTCATTAGAAACCACTTGTGCATTGGAAATCTTTGATAAATCCAATTGCTGCTTTGCAACTTGTGAATTTATTGTCAAATTCAAATGCACTCGTGGAATAAAAATAGAATTTACCAGTCAAGACATTCATTATGCACTTATTACTCAAGCAATACATATATACTTTTAAAAACAGTTTGACTTGAAAAAGGAAAAGTTTGATTTGAAGTGACTGTAAAATCTTCATTTCTGAAGCAAGAATTTTCTTATTTTTCCAAATGTTTTTGTGAAGATTTTGTTATAAAATATACATTTAACCCATATCCAGTTTTTTAAGATTAATACTTCAATTCAGTAGTCCCTGACACACACTTGCCCCTACCTGAAAGGATAAGTACACAAGAGATGTCCATAACTCTTATTATTCAAGCAGGAGCACTTGTGGGGCAAGAGCAATACCGTGTTCCAGGTTACCAGTTTACTGTTCAAATCAACAAAATAGATAAAAATTGGCTGAGATACACCTTTTACAATCTTTAGAGTAAGAAATTATGAAAGTTGGATGTGCAACTTAATAGGATAACTTCTTGAAAAAACAATTTTTCTTTTATCAAAAACTGTTTTTACATAATATATAAGTATAAAGTAGTAAGCTCTTGTCCCACAGGAAGGGTCTGCCATGTAACCCTATGACTATATTCTGCAGGGACAACTGTGCAACACTTCTTAAAAAACAGAAAACTATCCAAGAAAGGTAACTCACAAAACATTTTAAAGAGCACATCTACAGATTCTTTTTACCACAATATTTTTTTAAAAGCAGGATTGATGGTGTATGAATCCTAATAAAGCTAGATAGCAGAACTTGGAAGATCCACCTCAATCAACAGGTTGAAATGAAAACCTACTCAAGTGGTTTGGTTTCAACACAGGGATGTCTTATGGCTGATTTATGTAAAATCAGTGTGTCCAATTTAAGCTCCACAAATGGCAGCTCTAAATGTTCATGGTTTGGATTTAATGGAGCAACTAACCACTCACTGCAGAAATTCACTTCTGTTTCATATCATTAATTCAAATCCTTGATTGAAAATGACTTCCAGTCATTGTAACAAGTGTATTTGTGCTGCATTTTAAAAAAAATTAAAAGAAAAACAAACAAAAATTTTTGTTTTTTCTTTCTCAGACATCCCTGTCGCACAATAGTGTACTACATCTAACATGCCCATCTATGTACAATCCACTACAGCAAAACTCTTATATTTAAGTCACCTATTGACACTGACCAGAAGTGTTGATGGCCTTGTCATGTTTGATCAGAATAGAGTGATTTTTACAAATTCAATATTGCAACCAATATCAAAAATGTATATGTACATCAAAAACACACCATTATAATGTATATATTTTGTCTTAATTCTGTTATTCTTTAAAGGGGTTAAGCCTGGAGAATGTACGCACCTCTAAATAAATTTACACAGGCTAGCGTTACATCAGAAGGCAATCAGGATTCTCCGTGGGTATTGAAATTGTTTAACTAACAATTTTCAAAAATTCACAGGTTTTACTGAATGTGTGACCTGCACAATTTTTATTACTGCACTTATGTATTCAAGAAAAATGTTTTTTTGCAAAAATTCAGCCATTTTTAAGTTAATTTTGAAAATGTATTAGAGGCTTCATGTAAAGTAAAATAAAAACATTAATTAAAGGTTTAAGGAGCCGCAAGATCAGCCCAATTGACAATTAATTTGAGTGAAAATTCAATATTCCAAGGGGCAGGCGAGTAGGAAGACACGAGAGATGGGCAGAGAAACAAATGGTTAGACGGATGGAGATGATTGGAGGAAGAGGAAGAGAGACAGACAGCCGAACAGGTAGAAACAGACTGACTTTGAGAAAACCACTTTCTCAGTAACAAACACAAGAAAAACAAGAGATTTTAATACACAGTGAATACTATGAGAAAGTTAAATACTTGGAATAGGAGCAAAAAAAATTCAATTTTTTGTATCTGAACACAAAAAATTGATTTTCTGTCAACAAAATCGGCTATTTTTCTACAGCACTGCATAACCTTCATATTATGAAAATTATACTATAAAGAGTACTTTAACAAAGAACAACATATCTTTTTTTTTATCCATAAGTTTTAATGATAATGCCACAGCATATAATTTGTGTTATCTTTACAAAGCATTCAAAGAAAAAACTGACTGTTTTTTCTTTGAATGTTTGAAAATGAGAAAATCTTGTTCTTGCATCTTTAGAATTTTTGCTATTGTACTAAAAAAGTATGCAAACATTTTGGAAATACTGAAAACATTAAATGATTTAAAGATCTAATAGGATGGAGGATTAAGAAAGTTCACTACCTTGAATAAGGAGGGTGAAGTTTTCAAAAAGTCTGAATTTCCACAATTTTCAAAAATTCAAAGACTTTAACGAAAATAGAACTTGCATCATATCTGTAAATGCCTACTCTTCTATCCTACAAAATATTAAGGAAATAAATTTGAAGCAATTTTTGAGAAAATTTTGAAAATGTCCTCGATATATATCCCCAAAATTTTTAGACACATTTAAAATTCTGCAAGCTTTGAGGTTATTATTATTATTATTATTATTATTATTATTATTATTATTATTATTATTATTCAACTAAGATACTGTTACGGGCAAGGGCCTCCTGCCTTTTGCCGGAAATGCTGAATGAAATGATAGGGTGATGATAAGGGGATTATCAGGAGGTTGAAAAGACAAATCTACAAGTTACACTTTCATTACTAAGCATTACTTGCAATTTCATTACTTTACATTTCAAGCAGAGAACTCTATTTATACACATTCCTCACTTACAGAATCACATTTCTTTCATTGCTGAGAGTCAAAATTTCCTTTTATTAGTACAAGTGTGATAAAAAGGTATGTGATGATAGTCTAAGAAGTCAATCGAGGACAAAGCAGACCATCCATAAAACATTCATGCACATATATTCAAAACACGTGTTACAACAAAATAAAATCACCAAAATTATTTGAAATCGCAGATGTCACATAGGATATAATGTGCAATATTCTAAATACTTTAAGCAAGAAATGTACTGAAGCATTATGTAAATAATACATAATTAATTTCAATAACACATCAGGTTTATAATATTGTTTTAATCAAAGTCTATCACTAGAGTAAGATGGCGCTACTTTACTTTTTTATGCAAGATCATCAAAAATTTCAACGCTCTAGGGCTACTTTTATCTACATGCAATGCCGACATTACACAACACATGCCTCTTAACCCTTCAACGAGCGGCCTAGGCTGGGCGAGGAAGAATTCCAACACAGGTGAAGCTGAAATGGGTGCATACGTAATCGTGGTAGCAGGTAGCCAATTTAGTGCAACACTACAACTACCTTCTGTCACCATACACCATCCTGCCATTCAAAGGAAAGTCTCTGTTTGGTATGGCTTCCTGCGAATCAAGGCGGAACAAACATGCCATCTGAAGATGGGATTCCACGTTGAAGGGCTAAGCTATTTTGTGTTACAGAAAATTGAAGTTCATTTAAATGTGTACCATTACACAACACATAACAAGTTTCCAATTCATAACTTAAGATTCACCAGATTAAGACTGGCAATAAAATAAGTGTTGAACTTGGATCTCTTGGTAATCTTAATTTGAAAGCCATTTGTGCATCACAAGATAAGAGAGCAAATCAAACTTACCATGTTGGATAGCGCCACCTTACTCTCAGGTACATTCATTGTTATATCAAAGGTTGCCTTAATAGCTGGTTCATCCCAACAAGGAAAGCAACGCCTAGCATCTGTAGCTTCAAACTGAGTCACTGCCGCATATCTCTCGTCACCATCAGGGCTGCAAACAGAATATTAAAGCTTACCATATTTGACAGGGCAACCAAATATGCCTCTGCTACCAAACTGATGGAGAATTGGGCCTTCACTGCAGGCTCGTCCCAGCAAGGAAACATTCGACGAGCTTGAGTTGCACACAACTGGGTCACAGCTGAGAAAGCCTGCTCGGACTTGCCATCTCTACCCTCCCTACAGCCAGTAGAGACAAATCACATCTGCACACACACTATACACAACACATCCATGCTTTATAACCACAGTTCCCAAATATCTGTAGGATAATACACACACAGAAACAGCGCTGGTTAATTACCTCACATACTTGCTTCGGTAGAATCCTTTCATCTTGTCATTAATTTCACCTGTGTATTCAAAAAGAAGCTCCCCTTTCCCACAGGCCAAAGGGTGGGGAAATAGAAGAGTAAGCGTTTCATCTTCTACTGATACAACACGGTCAGATGGAAAGTGCTTTCCACCATTTTCTGCTATAAATTCCACCTTTTGGTAGGTAAGGTCCAAAGTATTCAGAACAATTTTATCTGTTGCACATTTCACCTACAATGTCAACATAACCTGAATATTACACACCACATTTACGAATTTTATTTTTTTTATGCTAAACTTTACTAGTTTGAAAGTCAAACACATATTTTGTGCTTACCTGCACTTTCACTTTAAGCTTTCCTTCAAACAGGAAAGTCTTTAAATCAGGTTTCAATAATAGTTCATAGTGCTCTGGAACCACCGATTTCGGCAGCCTCACAAATGGTTTTGCATCGGGCATGTTTGTGTGTTTCCAACACACTCCGCTAAAAAGGTTTTCAGAGTATTTTGAGATCAATAAAACAGAATTCCGTGCACAGAGATACGACAAACGTACACAAAAACGTCGAGTCACTGGGATAAACAAACGGCTGCACTGAAGCACGGAGGATTGTACGCTACGTAGTGATCTTACACCACTGACACGTATATCAGTAGGTCTCAGCCTGTTTTCCTGTCCCGAGAGATAACGGTAACGGCACAGGCCGCGTTGGACAAAAACCGGTTTAGACTGCCGTATAACAACACTACATACCGTTCTCGTAATAAGATACATAAATTGATCCTAAAACGATACAGTCTTTGTCGGTTTAAAATCCTTTTGTCTCGACACGTCAGTAAAAAAACTGAGAAAAATTGATACAATTATCTCTTCCTTTTCAACTTATTCATTAAGGTTTTATTTGAATGGCAGGGTGTCCACTACTGACTGCTCGCGGGTGGTACAACGCAGCAACCAGGCAGCAACTGGCAGCAACCCCTCATCCAGCCCACAGCATTCACACTGACAACGAGGAATAATTTATATCACTGTCATATTGTAAAACAAAACACTGTGATGATGCGGATCTGTTAGGCAGGAAATACAAATTGATGTTGGAAGCAACGCCGAAACCTAGATTCATTCTCAAAACTTGTGTGAGTTACGGAGTTCTTGCAGTCTTCTGAAGATGGTCGCTACATTACACCATAAGCAGTAATTTCCTTCATAACACCATCCTATTAACATTTAAGTACTTGAACTAAGAAGCATTCTATTATTATTATTATTATTGATCGGCGTTTTTGTAACATAAAGGCAATGTATTTTACCTGCAGCTAGTTGCCACTGTTATTAGTAATGCTGCATTTATCAGTTTTTGAAGGCAACAGAGGCAGGGCAGATAAGTCGAAATATTTTGCTTCATAAAAAAAGAACGGCCACACACTTATTGATCGTAGCTAGGTGTCACCAAGTAAATAACTTATTAGATATATTTTTTCGGAGCCCCGGGGTTGATGTCCATTGCTAGAAATATTTCGTTTCCAAGAAATATTGTTTACCGGATGGCAAGTGAGAAAGTTTTCTGAGGGTTCCAAATTCGCACTACATTTGCAATTGCGACACTAATTTCATCGAAGAAAATATTCGTACCCAGCAATTATTTTCACATTACCTTGTAATTTATATACACATTATGTTCGGACCAGTTAATCAATGTTCATTAACGTATTCTGAAAGATCGGGTAGATAATGCGATAAAAAAGAAGCAAATAATTTTACATCCACACAATTTTGGTAGTAGCCATAGTCCGAAACGTAATTTTACTAGTTTTCATTAGACACGGTATACCCGCAGGTGTTTTGAAAAAAACAAACACTTTTTCGGTATCAGGGGACCCCAAATTCCGCAGCATTACATAACTTTCTCTATACTACGTATACTACAACGTATACTTGTGCGTACGTATATGGGAGAGTAAACACAGCGGATATCCGGCAGAAAAAAAATCATTGCTGGGCCCTGATGACGAAAAAGTGGGTAAATACAGTTGCTAAATGAAGAAAAAATCCTCTCACAAGTATTGTAGCCAGAATCCATGTTTTGTAGGTTCTTGATACCGAAAAATCAATTGACGGCAACACGTCCGTCCGTCTGTCCGCTCGTCCGTCTGGCGTCTGTGAACACTAATAGTTCCTAAACCATGCGTAGGATTTTTTTCCAAATTGAAGAAACTCCTGTCCATCTGGTTCGAGTAAAAAGTTTGAGATTTTGAAAAACACGCTGGTTTAATAAAACTGGCTGGTTGGGTCAATGAAAGATTAAGCTTGTGTGTAGAGTTACCATCTGCCTAAAGTTGCTCACCCGGAATATTTATATTATGCATCAAACGGGGGAGGGTCATTTTAACTTTCTCGTATACGTACGTATATACAAAGTAATATATGACTTATATTACTCCGTATATTCGCGTGTATGTGTCAAAGTTAAAAAAGTCCCCCCCCCCGCTTGATGTAAAATATAACATTTTCGGGTGAAACAGTTTTGTAATGTTCTAGAAAAAACCGTAATTTTTCGACAGAAAAACTCGTATTGAGCGGCTGATGCAGAAAAAAAGGGCTCACGGCATCAACTGAGGTCACTGAAGTGCCTCTAACCGGGACGCCATAGGTTTGAGTCCCGCCGGTGGCAGGATTTTCGACACTAGCTTGTCTGCTAGATGGAATTCAGTAAGTGTAAAGGAGAATTATAGCGGGCGGCCGGCCGTTTGCACAACCCGGTTGCACTGATCGGTAATTTTCCGTGGTTTCTTCGATCAACACCAGGCGAATGCCAGAGCAGTACCTTAACAAACGGGCCGCGGACAACGCATGATCTTTCTTTCCTCTTCCTTCGTCCTATACTCACCCTTACTCACACATATGCCGGAGGACTGCTCAGGAGCTTAGATTTTGCTGGGGGAACCCCACTGGTGGGAGATACCTGGTTGGGGAAAACCCCGCTAGCTGACGGTAGATCGGCGCCAGATCTCCCCATCTAGCGGAGGAAGACCACCGCCCCTATCGAGGAAAAAATGCACTAAACCTGCGGGACTAATGGTCGTTGCAGTTGACGCACCCGCAATCACTAACAATCAGAATTAGTGGTGCTACAGAATAGAACAGACTTTCCCATATTAGTCTATTTCTATTGGTCTCGGCTAACTATTCGAACTTGCCACACACTCTTGCCTGCTGCCATCTATCGCAAAATATACGTTTTTGAAATTTTCTTAATTTTACGGTTTACTATTACGTAAATATTGTTTTACAAATATTAAAGAACAGTAAAACCGCATCGTAAATGGCAATTTTTTTTTTTTGAAAATTTGGAGCCGTTTTTCATGAAAATGGCCTAAGCGCTACAGCATTTCAGAAATTTAAAGCACTTTTTCACAGAAAAGTTTGAGTTTTCGAAAAACTTCATTCGAAGTCATTTGAAGCACATTTACTGCAACTTAAAACGTGATTACAAATTGCTGGAAACAAATTGCTACAAACTTTTGTAATTTTGAAAAAAACAAAAGAACATAGCAATATGACATTTATGTCATCTTATAGAGTGCATTTGGCACAATCGCTAACAAAATTTTAAAGAAAAAAATTGGCGCTGTTATTGGTTTTGTAATTTTTTTAAAATTGAACAAATTACACGCAATATTACGCGATAACTACTAACATTTACAAAATAATGTACATGATCTTAATGAAAGAACAAATTTTGGCAAGCAAATTTTATTAAAAGAAAAAATATATCTTTATTTTTGTTGTTGTAGGAAGACCCCGAACAAAATTCAAACCTTTAAAATTTTCGAAAATTCAGAGTTAACCGTGAAAATCTGACCTATGCCACATTTATAAGTGTGTGTTACTCAATCATTACAAGAAATTTAAAGAAAACATTCGGAGCAGATTTTGAGAACATTTTGAAAATGTCCCTGGGGCCTCATGTAAGTACTCCCAGTAATGAACGATTTTCAAAATCGCAGAGCTCGACTAAGGCAAATCGAGAGGGATTTCTTCAATTTGGAAAAAAATCCTTTGCGTGGATTAGGCGTTTGTTGGCATACACCGGACGGACGGACGGTTGGACGTTTTGAAAAAACAACACTTTTTCGGTATCAGCGGACCCAAAAACGTATATTTCCGTTAAAATTTCAAAATCGATTTTCCGCAACATTACATAACTTTCCCTATACTATCTATATTACTCCGTATATACGTATACAAAGTAAAAGTAGATAAATCCATTTACGATGTAGAAAATTACATCCTCTTACACGTTACGTAGTCACTCGTCTGTTGAGTAAGTTTGATAAGGACGGCCTGGATCAGTGTCCTCTACTGTCCTGGTTGTTTATATCTTCAAATTGTTGTTGGCCAGCTGCCTCCGTTTCCCGGCAGAGGGCTGGGGTGGGTAAGGACTAGATGTTTTGTATGTTTGACGGGTTTATTTCGTTTAAGGGTTTTAATCGTTTTTAGGGAGGGGTGGGCTTGAGAGAAAGGTGTTTTGAGAAAATTTTTGAGGGGATTTTGAGGAGGGGGTGGGGGTAAAGGGTTATTGTTTTGAGGCGGTTATTGATTGTTGGCGTTTTCTTAGGTATATTTGTCGGTGTGTTTTTTAGGTGGGTGGAGAGGGGAAAGTTGATAGAATAATACTAGAGGGAGGTGCTTATTGGTTTTACTTCTGGAAATGAGCGGAGGGGAGTTTGAGAACTTTGTTTGGTGAGGTTGATATGATGGTTTGGTGTAGATTGGAAATTATCTCGTATAAACTTGGCGACATGCTCGCGGTGTCTGGTGATGGGTGTTTAGAGATATATTGGGGGAGGGGGCGAGATTATTGTATTGGTGTTGAAGGTTTGTAATTTTTGCCCGGGAAGAGGGTGAAAGATAAGGATGATGTGGTTTTCAAGATTTGTTTACTTTTGTATAGGTGGAGAGGTGTGGAGAAATGTTGACCAGGTGGGAGAGGCGTATGTGATGATGGATGTGATGTCGGGCTGTAATAGGAGTTTCTTGTTGATCATATAGGGGAAGTTGGATGCAGGCGACGCGCTCGATGAGTTGAATATATTGGCATTGCCGATTGATTATGGGATAGTGATTAGGTGTGGGGGGATCCAGGGTTAGTTTGGAGTTGAAGGTGATGGCTCCCGAAGCGTTATTATAATTTTGAGCGATGGTGACCTATGGGATAAAGGAGTGTATTGACTGGTGATGGGTGGGAGAGTGTGTGGGATGTCGCTCAAGTGATCGATAATTGCTTGGCATTCTGGAAATAGGAGTTAATTTTTGAATAGGTTTTCCTGAAACGCAATTGAGGAGATAGAGTGGGCGGCTATAAGTTGAAGTTGTTGATAGGAGTGTTGAGGAGGTCTACGGTGAGGGGAGCAGAAGGTCTAAAGTCATCTGCGTAAAGAAATTGTCTAATGGCGGGCAAAGAAGGGAGGGCTTAAGTACATTGAAGAAGAGAGTGGGAGATAAAACATACGCGCGACTCTGGTGAACTCCGGCGAGATGGGTGAGAGGTAGGAGATAGTGGAGGTATTTGGTCTTTCAGGGTTCTGTGTGTTTAGGTAGTTGGATAGGGATTTGTTGCAAGGTGGCGCACAGCGTAGGTTTTTCAGTTTGAATAGGGAGAATTTGGTGGTTGATTGTAATCGAAGCAAAGGAGTAGCGGGGCAGTGAAAGGGCAGGTTATTATGCGAGATTTATGGCGAAGATCTGTACGATGTTGAGTAGCAAGGTGAAAGCGTTTTGGAGTGCTGAGGAACGGTCAGGGGCGGAAGCCGAATTTGGGTGAAGGGTGGATATGGGGTTTGGAGGTAGGGATTCATAAATTTTAGAAGGATTTCTCAACAGTTTTTCGGTGATAGGGAGGAGGCTGAGGAGGTCGTTAAAGGTTTGTGGGTATATTGAGGGTCTTTAATGGGGTTTGGGGATCTGATTAAGTGGCGGTTTGTTCCACAGTTTGGGGAAGTGTGCGGTTGGGGAAGACAGAGTTGTAAATTTGGGTAAAGGCTGGAGAGATTGCGTATAGTGGGTTAGTAGTCGATTTCACGAAACAGAGGTCAACGATATTCCGACAGAAAGTGTTTTTTACTTTCTCGCACTGACGTTCGTAAGAAGCATCAAAGTACTGTAAATCGTGCACCGAAAAAATGACCGAATTTTTGACAGAAAAAATGTAAATGTTCGCGCCTGGTGACTCCATCGCTATGCTACTACATTGGAAATGGAATAAATCCTGCCTTGTTGCGCTGTAAAACCGCCATCCGTGCGCCGTGTGCGAGAACGCAAGCTGAGCCGCCCCTCCCGCACCTAGATACGCTCCCTCTCTTCCAATGCGCACAGTATTTAGAGAAGGGTAGAAATCAGTGTAGTCGCACCGTACATCTCTAAGTCAACTCAAGCGAGAATGTGTGCTGCTAACGGAGATCCGCGGGAAAATACTCGAAACACTAGAGGCACAGATCGGAGGGGAAGACCAAGTTGAG